AATACGCGCGAGAAATAACTGTTACGAGACACGCCAAGCTCGAACCAGTGGGAGACTTTGTAGTTTGCGTATAAAATAACGAGAGGAACGTTGCGAACGATAACGACGGGAAGGCGAAGCGAAGCGACGACCGTGCCAGTTCCCGGGGCACGAACCGTTCCTTAAAAAATGCCTGTTGTCTCAATTATAGTAATTGGTCGCGGCATGCGAGTAAACTAGCGTTTAAGACGGGCCCCGTATTTGTCGCGAATTACACGGAACGTCGAAACGAGTCGTGTCACATTACTCTGGAAGGGAACGCGACGGAATGCCTCGGCCCTCATCTTGGTCGAATCAATTGGAAATGGGTCCGTCCAATGAGTTCGATTACACGATCCATTTTACAGTTGGTAACGAACATATTGTCGTGCAATGAAATTATCGAGATTCCAACGGTTGAAGTTGTACGCGTGTACACGTGTGTTTCTCCACAGAGTGAACGAATGAAACGCGAATTAGGAGATGACGAGCAGCGACGTCGGGGCTCGCCAGCAACGAGCGATTTGTCGCCGAGGGAAGTTACGGAGTCGAAGCTCGAAGGCCCGCTCGGAAAGAGCGGGAGACGAAGAAAAGGAAATTGAATTCCGGTCTCGCGGTCTGAGGTGTACCTACACCCGCTACGGGGCTTCCTGTTCGGGGTCTCCCTCCGAGTCTTACGGTTACTTACGGACTTACTTACGGACTTATGCTCTCCGTGGCGGCACGGTCCCCTCCTCGGCAGCGCGCGGCAAGAAGCCAGACATTCTGCAGTCCGCACCGCGGGCTAATCGCTCTAACGAGATCATATTATATTATTCCGACTTTGCTAATCTTTATTAATCTCATTTCCCTCGGTGCACGCGTCCCGCTTCTCGACTCGCGGGTATTGTTTGCCCGAACGCGGTTGCTCACGCTCCCTCGCTACTCGTGACTCGCGCCAACGGAGATCATGTCATTTAGGAGGATACCAGGGACGATTATTGTCGACTAACTTTCCAACTGGATCATCGTTAAATGTGTCGTAAAGGATTTTTCGTTTTCAACCAATCAGCTCAAACAGTTGCTTCCTCGTCTGTTGAACGACGTACGCGTGTAGTCGTACCAATCGATAGATGTGGAATTAACAGTTCAAACAGACGATACACGATGCAGATCGTTCATCGGTGCGATTCGTACGAATTCGCGTGATACACGTTCACATGATCGCACGTGCAATCAAAAATTACGCGATTCGATTCGAAGACGTAACGGCTAGCCACGGGTATTTCTCATTTCGATTTGAACAAAAGTGAGACGAACGAACGAACGAACGAACGAGTGTTCCATCTTGGGAGTGAGCAAAGTGAACGTTGGTAGACTGGAAGCAGAGCGGACGGGAGCCGCGTTAGCGCGTAGAGGCATAGAAGCATACGAACCGCGACGCATCCCGAACGCATCCTCTGTGACCAATTATCTCTCGCTAACGAAGGCCCGTGCTATCTACGCACCGCGCTCTGTCCGGCGATTAATTAATTATAACAATGTCGTTAATTTTACGCGGCCGACTCGAAACGTTACTGACCGGATCGCCCTGCGCTGTTCTCTTCCCTTCCACGGTACTTCCTCTGCCCATCTTAACTCTTTCCACGCGCTTTCGCTTCGATTCTCCTACCGTGCAAAATAAACAGCCTGTTTCGGCCGAACGTTTCATTAATTTATTACACATCAGACATCGGCGTCGATCGTTGTATCGGCATTTCTGTTCTACGAAACAACGTGCGACTCATTGTCTCACTAATTATGTTGCATTGAATTTCGTGTCAGACGTTCCAAGTTTAAATCTGACAATTAAACCGGCTAAAACCTAGTAACCAGATCCACTGATGGTACGCGCGGTAGAAATATAATACGTTGAGATCTAAACAGCATAGAAGGGAGTATCAGTGAGCGAATATGGTGGAACGCGTGGAGAGAGTGGAATGGCAGCGAACGAGCCGGAGCAATGAAAATTCAATGACGCGAGCAATTTGAACTCTCGAGGGCCGTGCAAGCTGCAATCTGAAAGTATAAACAGTAGTAGTACTCTGCCTGTCCCTCTCTCTCTCTCTCTATCTGTCCGTCTGCCCGTTGCGCCGCATCCCCTTTCTCCGTGTCTTCTCCCTTTTCCACGAGTCCGTTTCCACCGTTTTCTCTCGCGCAGCACCGGTATAGGTGTACCTGCGCATATGCAGTGTCTCGCGGTGGTTGACTCGCGCACCATAATCGCGTAATTTGCGTGTAACGACGCAATTTGTAGTTACGCCGACCCCACGGTCTCTTTCACAATGCCGGCGACGACGACCATTACTACCACCACCACCACCACCACCACCACGACTGCGTCGTACGGTGATAGCGACCGCGTTGAACAATTGCAAAAATCAATGTAAATAATGAAACGACGGTGAGTTTTTTTATTCCTCGAGAGATCCGTGTCACCTTGTCCCGCCTTTTCAGCGAATAAATAATAACGTGTGTGTGTGTGTATGTGTGTAAAATCAAGCTGTTTTAAAACGTTCGGTGTAACAATTATTTGTAAGACCTCGTTCCTACGTGTTAGACGACGAGCACTGATTTTATAACTGTTCGTACGCGAGCCACGAGGCTTAATAACGATACATGTTTATCCCCGAAACGCGTAATCTAATCGTTCGGTTCTTCACCGATTTTACCAGCTATACGTACATATGTCATTAGCCGTCCGTCGACGATAAAACTCGAGAGATACCATGGTTCGTTTCAATGAAGAAAACAGGGGTAAGAATGAAACAATTTGAATGATGAAACGATCCGCGTCGAATAATAAAAAATTAAAACGATTCAACTTTTGTATTATAGTTCGATAGTTAATACCTCTGATTTTCCTCGATAAAATTCAAATCACGTGGATGTATGAGCGCAGTTATCCGTCACCGAATGTCGATGTGCGATTATAAATATAAAAGGAGTATATCTACGTCTGATTGAAACTACCGTTAACTCATTTTTTCCAAAAGTGGACTCACACAGCTTTAAAATGAGGACTACTGCCAAGAATTGTTTGACATGCGAATACTCTCTATGTCCACCACTGTAAGTTAAAATAAAGAGTAAGACGATCTGTAAACGATTCTTGCAAATAGTTCGTCAGAGCGTCTAACAGTTTTTCTGTTTAGGAAAATCGTGAAACCGGTTTCGACGAGTAAATACTCTGATCAATTACTTACCGTTAACGCACGCTATTTCGATCGAAACGCTAAATCCGTGCACAGGATAAAACCAAGTGTTCGAAAGATGAATACCGCTTCAATTCGTAGTCTATCATGCGCAAAATGAAACCAGTTTCTTTATACGTACGAGGCTCGTGTAATGCAAAACTATGTCGCATGCCCGATCAGAAGAATTCGTCCGACTCAAAATTATACATAAGGTATACGTAAGGTCGATGGTGTTTCATTGGTTTTACATCGTTAAAATTTTAAACAAATTTTGTCTAAAAAATAAAGATGTAGAATCGAACAGCTCGAATTCCTTGTTTTTGGCTGGTCATCGATGGCAAACAGCGCCGAGGGTTTTCCGAGAATTTTCGGAAAAGTCGATCCTGCGGCGGATCCTGTTTTCGCGTGAGTCCGTCGTGCAAAGTAGTCAGATCGGTTCGGGATGAACGCTCTCGGCGTCGTGAGGAATATCGAAAGTTTAATTGCGACGCAGGAGGAACCTTGAAGGTAGACGAGAGTGCGCGAGGGGAAGGGTCGCGAGGTCGTACGTTCGCGGATCGCGGCGACCACGCGTCCTCCTCTTCTTTATCTGCGTTCGAACCGTTTCCATACAGAGAACGCTTTGTCGTTACGATACGAATTGGCTCTCGATCGCTTCCAAGTACCAGCGTCCGCTGGAAACGTCGACTTTCGTCCACTTCGTAGTCGCCGATCAAAACGTCTTGATCGGTCTCCGACATCGAAGTAATTTCAGTTTTCCTTCAAACAAAATTCGATCGTACGTATCGCGTATCTTCTACCAGTACAGATAACCCTGTTCAATCTAATCGTCTCGTGGATGACCTAACGAGAACATGATAGAATCATAGAGATTACCATAGCATGAGAACTAATTTGGTTTATACCAAAACGACGAGGTCGCGTCGTAGAAGAAGCACGTGCATAGGACACTGTACGGTACTGTGAAAAGAATGAAATACTAAATGTTTATCGTATGATACACGACTTATGACTATCATGTTTGCCGCGCGACACAGTTCATTTAAGGATGTATAGGCTATGCAC